CAATTTGTCTTTAATTTTACACTTTACAGTTAAATAGTTTAATTTCATAGACACACGTCAAATGTTTTCTGCAGGTGGTGGACCAGTGGTGGGATTCACATACTTTAACAACCGGTTCTCTGCCCTAATGATTTCTTCCAACAACCAGTTCACCAAATTGCTCAGAAACTTAACAACTGGTTCTCCCAAAGTGATGTGAACTCGATGAATCCCACCACTGGTCCACCACCTGCAGAAAACATTTGATGTGTGTCTATGAAATTAAACTATTTAACTGTAAAGTGTAAAATTAAAGACAAATTGTTATTCATAAATTGCTAATAATCTTTGAAAAAATTAACAATACATAAAATTATACCGTTAATCAGAGGTGAGAAATATTCAATTATTAAATCTATTTAAGGATTTTCTTTTGGCTGTCCTACAACTCTGAAAATAGGCACTACTTCTTTTTACATATTTGTAATAGTTAAAACACAGCAAATTAATGTGCCTGGTAACTAAACATGAGTAATATCTTAGGCATAATTCATAGTAACAATAAAGAGCATTGGTCACTAACCATCGCAAAGCACTAGATTTCAGAAAGCTGTTCTCTAAATTTCCAATTACAATAGGAATGTTGACACTTTGCAAGAGGATATCAATAAGACAGTCGATCAATAACCATTGTTCCACATTTTCTAGTAACCTAAATAGGCTTCAATATTGTGATCAATGCTATGATTGGTTTTATCATTTGCCTGATGCAAATCTGGCATTAGGTTACCTCGGGAGGCAAAGGCGAGCTCCAGTATCTGAGATCAATGTTACGAATTTCAGGTTTATGGAAGCTCTCTGCAGAGTTATTTGGAAGAGAGCTGGCAATAACTAATCAGAGATATTGAAATATCATTTTGTATCTCTATAGCAATACAAATCCTTTACAATATGACCCTATTAACTCTATTTAAAGGGGAAAATGCTCCTGTTATTTTGTATATCTGGTTTAAAGAATTTGTATGAAACGAAGTGTTTATGTGTAAGCTTATTTATGAGTTCTCATTTAATTGCAGATAGGTTAAGATTTATTTCCAACTGATTTCAATAAGCGCTAAATACATCTTAAATTTACATAAAGAAATACACAAGATCTAAGAGGGCTCAGTTTAAGTTCAATACTATATGTTCACATTAAAAATCTTGGGAAATAGTTAAAATGTATTTCATTTAAAAGATAGTCAAGATATTGTTTATCTCCTACCTGATGGCATAGCTCATGCACAATAACCATGGTGACATCCAGTAAATATGATATGGAAGAAATGCTTGAATCCAGAAGTATCCTTTGTTCCACAAAAACATTTAATCCCCAGTTCTCCATTGCAGCATAAGGATGCTTAGGCACAGCTAACAGATCTAGAAACAGAATGAAATGTCCTTTAACAAGCTTGTGGGTTTTAAAACTCGCATTAATTAAAAAAGATGGGACATGAAAACAATTCTGAAATGCAAGAATCAAAGCATTAACATTCCTGAGAAATAACACGTTTGATTGTTTAGCATATATCATGTCCTAAGAATCAAAATATGTTGTACTCATTTAAAATTCACTAGTGTTACCCATCATTGGAACAGACCAGAATCTCATACTTCAGCAATAATAATATATTAAAAAACAATTTTATAGTACTTAAATTTTGGCATCTGAATATCAAGTAGTAACTATTCATATTTGTCCATATCAAGGATGTCAAACTCAAGGCCCTTAGATCTGGTCTGCAAGGCCACTCTGGAAGCAGCAAATGACCGGCCCATAGTGGCTCTGCCAACAAAAATGAAGCTTGGGAGGTTTGCATGCAGCTGTCCCAAGCTTCATTTTTACTGGGGGAGGGCTGCAAGGGGCTGTCGTGGCTGAAAACAGGGCCCAGGAAGTGGTTTTGTGCCAGAGCAATTGGGCCATCACAGGAGCCCCTGACATGAGTGACATCATGCTAGCCATGCCCAGCCTGGCTACACCCACCCCAGCCCCTTGAGGTCCTTAATGAAATGAATGAATTTGACACCCCTGGTCTATTTCAAAAATTCAGTTTTATTACAATAAAGTTTGTTAATTAGAAGAGAAGGTATTACTGTCCTGACCACTTAGTTGTTCCAAATCCACATGAGACTAAACACCAAAAATCTTGAACTCAAAGCTAGTGTGATAGTTGAAAGATTTAGTCAATGAGATTATTAAACTGCATTATTTTTCTTGTGTATATTTCTACAATTTGTAATCTTTTGCACATGAGTTGCATGCTATTTCCATAGCTTTCCATTTGTTCATGAGAATCAGGTCTAAAATATAAATAATGTGGTTAGCAAGCTTTATACTTAAAACATCTGGATATTTGTTTTATTTTGCTTGCATTACATGTTATCATGT